CATCCACCCTCCCCCGACTGAACCCTTCGAAAAGAGTATTACATTAGTATCGATGACTAAAACAGATAGCATGATAGCAATATAGCAATATAAGACACAGAGCAACATTGTCGGGTTTTAAACTTGGCAGTAGAATATGCAAGACTTGTTCCATTAAAATGCAGTATTACGTAATATTCAGTTTTAATTATAAGATATGCCTTGCAAGTTAGAAAGATAAATAACCATGGTCGTCAACAGAACATTAAAATTGTCTAAAACAAGTAAGTATAAGCACTTACTTGTTTATCTAAAATAAGATCGTCATGGCATGTATGTTAAGGCACATAATGATGTCATAGGCACGTGGCGTATCTGCTTGTAATTTGTCTTGATTGCAACGAAGCAACTTACCCCTTACCATGGGTTGATTTATTATTTCTAGATAAAATTTGGATAATTTAATGTTAAGAGCAATGTTGAAAAGACATTTTCCGAGGACCTTTTGAAATGTGGTGTATTGTATTGAACGTCCAATCCCGGTTATGATTCGCTAAATCAAACTAAACTAAGTAAATCAATGACGGCAAGCTACTACTAGTACAAATGTGCATGACTAATTCATTTACTTATATTACATGATGACTGCCATTAAAATAATACAATATGCGTGATTTACCATAGTTAGATGTTTTGCTAAAGTAGTAGTGTTCTTGTCAACAGTAAACCAAATTCCCAGAACTTTGTTGTGTCTTCGATTGAATGAAACGAAATAATTTGCATGTTTGCTACTATGTGATAATGATGAGTCCTTATGCCAAGACGGTAAAACACGTTGAAATAGCTACATGCCATTTAGGCGAATCTGGCTGAATTCAAGAATTAACAGACTCTTCATTTCACTAGTCAGCATCTCATTGTGAGAATATACTTTATTTTTAAATAAGGGACATCTTGAATTTACGGATTAGTAGCTAAATTAGCTAAAATAACATACTAGCTAACAAGATGTGTTTTACAGTATAATCCACAAATATTAACATCATTTTTAAATATTTGGGTGAATTTGGATTTTCAATCACATATTATAAAATGTACGTTTGAAAAATAAATACAGCAGACTGGACAGCAATTTAATAGGGTCCAATATGCCAAGCCAGTAAAAATATATTCATCCAAACGTGAAAATGAAATAAGAATCACATGGTCGGACCTTAAGTGGACACCCATATGATAGAATACTATCAGGCTTCTCATTGGATTTTTCTTTACAATGACGCAAGGCAAGGCTTGGCGAAAGCATGATCAAATTGTTTATGGATAACCACATCTGATCACGTGACATATAAATTCTACGATACGTTTATCACACCATATGTCTGTACTACAGATGTGTCTATATGAATTACGTAAAGCATACATGTATATGTACAACAGCTGTGTCGTTCTACACTTTAGTTATTTCTAATTTGTTTTTAAATGTTTAAATGGTATTCCGTGGAATTCCCGCAATGGTCACTACACTTCGACTGACACATAAACATGGCGCGTTTATCGTACTACATTATCTCAAATGTGTCTATATAAACCTTTCTAGGCATACATATGTATATGTACACCAGCTTAGTCGTTCTACACTGTAGATATTTCTACATTGTATTTTCATGTTTGCTCTATGTATTGTTGCGGGTAGCTCGTATACTGTTGTATGCCCGGAAGAGGTGGGTGTTGCAGGAGATAATTACGTAAGATGTTGCTTTTGCGATTTGTTCCTCGTGCCAGTCACCAATGTTCAAATCCAAAAAAGTCTATTACATTTTTTTTAAAGAAATTTGTATTCTAAAAATATTACTGAGAGTTTTGATAGCGTTAAACTGTAATTCAAACCAGTATATAGTATTTTCAGTTGTTGTAATACGGATATAACTGAACCATAGTTGTAACATGTATCTCATGAGTAACCCTACAACAGATTTAATTTAATTCTTATTTTTTATAACTCGAACTTAGCTAAACGAGGTCAATAAACCTGATGTTGTAGGTTTACAAATTTAATATTGCATATATTATATTATATTATATATTCACAGCTTTTAAAATAATAGCTGGTTACGTAAGTTGTTATGAAACGTGGGTATGAAAAGTCCCAACCATTTGCATACATAATGACCGTTGCTGAACATATAATACCCTCCTATGAATTATAAATATGTTGATTTCTTGCGGCATTCAACAGCAAATCTATTTTAACTTTAAAGTTGAAATATTGAAATATTGGAGTGATTATCACAGTCCCACACTCTTCAAGCGCATAAGTGTCTACACCATTCAACATTATGATCCATCCAATATACACTGTGATATATAAGGAAGTATCACAGTTTTCGAAGAAATGACCTCTATCCAATATACGCATTGCATACAGGAAATATCGCACTTTTTAAGGACTGACTCAATTCAATGTACATCATATATACGCGGACATGACACATGTGTTCTTTTATCATTATCAAACACCGTATTTACATTGACTAAGCATTGATACACGCAAAATTAGTCTTTGGGAATATTTCAAAAGTTCAGGTAACGACTGCTGCCACAATGATCGCCTGGATGGTGGTAACATGAAATTGCGTCCTATGTTCGAACGTTGTTTTTCATCTTTCCTTGCATGTTTTCTCAATTATTTAGCTGTCATTATAGTTCTTTTTTCAATTTCACACTTACCACAAACATTGTACAGTAAAAGAAAAGAATACCGACACATCATCTTAGCGCACCTTCCATTGAGCTCCAATTACAATTTTAGCCACATTCCTCGCTCGGAAAACCGGATTTAAAGTTGCATAAGTTAATGTTTAGACTGGATAGATAGGTTAGATATTATAATATTAGTAACAAAATTACTCTGGCGCATGAATCATGGTCATTGCTATAAATAAATCACTTGCACTTTAGCATCGAACCGGGTTGCATCTAGTCTTACTTGCTCCCTATTATCCAGGCATTGTTATACGGGGTGACAATACGTTACAATACCTAACACTTAAAAAGATATTTTTTCATTTTTTTTTTTCATTTTAGTGTTTATTGTTATATATGGGTATGGGTAATATAATGTTGATTGATGTTTGTTTTTTTCCTAGTTTAAACTGTGAAAATGTATTTTCAGTCACTATACTATGGCTTAGTCCCTATGTAAGCAAAGGTAACCAAATGTAGAAGCAGTGACGTTGCAGTCGAGGTCCTAGTTGTACAGGAAACAAATCAAAATATTTATCTTTTTGGGTATATATATCAAAATATTTATCTTTTTGGGTATATATATCAAAATATTTATCTTTTTGGGTATATATATATCAAAATATTTATCTTTTTGGGTATATATATCAAAATATTTATCTTTTTGGGTATATATATCAAAATATTTATCTTTTTGGGTATATATATCAAAATATTTATCTTCTGAATTAGTCCAAAATTGTTACATGTAACACAAAGTGTGAACTTCTTTGAGTAGTGATGAACGAATTGAGTGGCATCCATCAAATACAAATAAAAACTTGCATTACAAAGACCAAATAATACACTGTTTAATTTAGTGTACAGAATATTGTTTGCAATTATGAGTTGATTATATTTATTTACGCCATTCCTATACATCACGCCCTCAAGCAAAACAGTCGCTGGTGCTTTTTAGGAAAATAGTTTTTTTTTGGACATAGTTGGATTAAAAAGTACGTGTTGTCGAAAGAATTATATAGTGTTGTTTGTTTGAATATGACATCAGCAATTAACAAAAACTATCATTTGTTGATTCAAAATCTTGGATTGTGATTTCGATTTAAAGCATTTTCTTCAATTTCATAAAAGTGTACAACTCATTAAACTCAAACAATTATCCCTGACAAACAATCACGCAAATTATCGATTTCGCATACTGTTAATTTACATAATCATTTTCATATTTTAAGTCCTATTATATGGGCTAGATAGATTAAGTGCTACCTAGTCTGGGGTATCCTATCCTTTTTCAGCATATGTTACGTTTTACTGCGTAAATGTATTGTCAGTTTTTTTTGTTTGTTTTTTTTGTTTTTTTTTTGTTTGTTTTTTGCTGACATTCTTAGAACGAGTTAGCATCAATCCAATTCAATTGATCCCTTTCATGAAAATAAAAGTGGTGTCCTTGGTAAAACACGAACTGTGTGGCGCATGTAGTCTTTGTAATGTCTCGCTCTCTCGTTATAATCAGACAGAATATTATGTCTATGGTGGAAGTGAACTTAGAACATTGCATAAAATCGATCCCTCCCGTCGAACGATTCAATGTTTGGCGGTCGGTAATCAAAACAACTATAAAAACGGATTCGTTATACCCCTCACAGAGGACTGTCGGTAACGACCACGGAATTTTAGGTTCAAGAATATTCTAGTATCAACATATATATGGAAGGTAGGAGGCCCTTCTCCTTTCCATGTTATGAACATCTTTATTGAGAAGACGCTGATTCATCCTAAATGGTTGCTCAACTGCGTTCTCGTCTGACAGATTTGGTCTGTATCGAAGTGAGGCAAATCAGTGATAAATCGGGAATGATCAGGCGATTATTTCATCGAAATGCCCGAAGAACTCAACAGGCGGTCTGTTCTACAAACAGTGAAGCAATCGCACACCACCAACAAACTCACCAGCCTGGGGAATCATGAATCACGATCTACACCTAGAAGTAATTTTACCCGACACAATTATGGGTACTGCAGTAGATTATAGACGCAACGAACAAAAACAAACTACAACATTTAGAGTGCATTACAGTCAATAATAGAAAAAAATCTTGTAATATTTACAGCTCCAATTTAGTAAAACGTGTTCGGCAAATTTAATATATTTTATACACAAGAATATGCACCATGTACGATATGCTCATAATTTGTCCGAATATCGTATTTATTCAAATCGTCATTGTTGTCAACTCGACGCAGCTCGTCGTTGAAATCATTAAAATAGCACTTGCATCTTGTTAACACACGTCGAATGAGCCTACATATTGTTGACGTCATCTAACAGATTATCACGTGCACGTGAAAACTACAAATAATATACTACACGTATCTATTACATTTTAAATTCCTGTGTGAAAAATAAAAATAGGTCGGGTACGTTTACTGAGCGGCATTGATCAATTCACAAACAAAGTTGCAGTTACGTCTGATTTCTTTTACGTCTTGCAATGCTGTCCCTCCACTGTTTTGTTTTCCTGGAATAAAGAAAGAACAGATATTTACGAAATGGCCCGACTCCATTGTTATGCTGTTATGATACTGTGTTTTATTTGTTTTATTTGTTAATGTTATATTTCGTTATCTTCACCTAGTTGTGCTTGTTTTTATCTACGCAAAATAACAAAAAAGATGATTTTCATTTTAATTTATAATACGGCCCGCGAGTAGATGGCTATCATTATCTCCTCGTCGAACTTGCTATTATTTTCATGAGACCAATCACATCCATTTAATATGCACTATGCGTAAATCATTTATTGTGATCTGACCCTAGTGCATAGATGGTCGGTTTGATTGACTGACAGATTTTAGGTCTCATACCACTAATTAATTTCCCATGACTGACAATGTAAGCGTTTAGGCGAATTTCCAAAAAAGTTTTGTGGTGTATTATTTTACAGTTGCCCAAATTCACAAGTAACTGGATCTTTTCAATAAATAAATAAAATAAAATAAAATAAATAAAATAAAACAACTAAAACGTTGTTGTTTTATTTAAACATATGTTTGGATTGATTGGTAATATATACACAAGTATTCTTACATTTGGTTCATCCCTCGACTGTGTAGGTTTTTTTCAACAGAACGTCGACCATGTCCCTTGTGCTGTTGGGTGAATATATTCCACATGGCGTCGACACTTTCAAAGCACAAAGATGACGCCACCAGTAGTACAAAAAGAACCAATAGTGCCTGCCTCATGTTGGCGTGTATCGTCTGAAAAAATGGAAGGCACATATATATTATTGTGTCAGTGTTCCATTTTCTTCTTTATGTATAGTTAAGTCCACCATTTTGGTGCATCATATTGTAAGTTAGGTCTGTTATCAGAAAAAAAAAACAGTCCTCCAGAAATGTATCTTAACCAAAGGATCTCGATATATATCAATTTATATGCGGATCGCGGATCGTAAATCAACCTCGAACGAGCCTAAAAGATTCTGATTTGACGTAATCGGACGTACACACTAGAACCTGCAAATGGTCTTTTATGGCTATATACATACATATAACACTTGCGACACAACGTTAGATAGCATATTTTATAAATATTTCACCTTTCAAGGCCTGATTTCAAATAAAATAAAGTATTTTTAATTATCTATACAACTAGAAATATTATCATACAGGTTATATTACCAGTGTGATTATTGGGATGACATGTTTATCGAATACTGGAATACATTTTTGCTGTAAAGGTTTTTTGGGTGTTTTGTGCGAAATTTCTTTTAACTGAATTTTGATAAGTTGAATGTGAGACATAAGAAAAAAAGTATATTCGCTGTATTTTGATTTCACTGAAGCAGCCCTTCAGCGAAAATAAATTCCAATCGAAAATATAGTATTCTACAGTATCACTTACCTAGAGCGCTGTTTATCTCTATCTGTTAACTTCTATGCTGTGGTGTTGTCAGTTCTCGTGTAGCATCACTGTAAATTTATAGGACTACTTGAACCCGCATTTGACAGGAAATTATGAATCAATTATGAATCGTTAACCATAATTAAAATAATTTTGCTACAATCGTACACAAGGAAATAACTATTCATAATCGATGCATGATTATTTTTATTGTACTTGTTAAAATATTAGTTATAGCGACAATGAACACGATTCTCCTTGTTTTAGAAGATGTTGGGTGACACCTATATTTGCTATATTTTTCTATAATGGCGAGAGACACAGTTTTACTTCATAAATCACATATCAAAGACAAATATATTTTGTGTATTTTTGTTCTATTGGGGGGATGTTGCAATATAACCTAATGATAATTTTTGCATTTCATGAATGCTTATTTTTTACATTGGCGCGAAAAAAGGTAATTTGTAAATAAAACAATAATCACAACTATCGTGATTCCAACGTGATTTGGGTAACATGTTAGTCATAGTTGTTACATAAAAATATTACTTATGATACAACACATTTAAATGATGGCCACTAGATATTGCAACGGGCTAAATGAGATTTAGACCGTGAATTTTGGACGATTGGCTGCTTGATTTCATACAATTGGTCTTGAAATAATAACAAAACTGTACACAATTTTTTTTGCAACTCATTTTTTTAAATTTAAATCCTGCATTGTGAATATTTATTATGTATTGATAGTTTTACCTCGTGTAGAGATAATTACAGTATGTGAATGGCAACGGGAGGAGCGTAGATAAAGTCAACAGTTGATCACTGTTATTTTCTGACTTGCTGTGGTGTAGGGAGCAAATGATCGTATTTGCGAATGACCGCCGTAACATCGCTCATTGGGAGAAGGAGCGCCACAAGAGTCCTGTTTCAGTCCCCCGAATAATGTTTATTTTCTTCCTTCATCGCGTCTACTGTTCCTAATACCACGGCACAGTGAACGCGATGACAGGAGCGAATGCACCACTATATTTTAGAGGAGAAAAACAAGTCTCGTGGCATTGTCGACCACAACGAGATCTCGCCGGTTTTTCACTTCCAAATATATTAAAAATTACACATGTTTTTGATATAATTTTACAGACCACGTGGATTCGGTTTGATCATTGAAGGATGACTTGATAAATGAAGCCAATCTCTATGTACATTACTACCGAATATTAACTTACATCAGCGTTCAGTCCGAGTTTGGTTTAACAGAAACACGTACACCGACCTTCATCGCACGATAATGGACAAGATATATCCGACCTCATTATTTAGTTAGGAAATTGATTTTCATTCTAATTAACACAATTAAAAATGTATTCCGGTATTTCATGATGGATCAAATTATTTACGGCTAATTATTAGCAATCCTCCAATAACATTAAAATAATAATGCAAATTAATACCCCCATAAATCGACGTTTAGTGGGAACCATGATATAGTATGGCGGACGTCATGATATAAACGTGCGTGTATATGTTTCATAGTTGACTGTCTCTACGTTATATTTTGGTAATATAACGTTTCACGAGTGATCGTGGTAAGTCGGAGTGACGAATATTATATCATAACTTCCTACTGTGTTACGGAAATACGAAAGTGATATCGATAATACTGTTAGGTATTATATTTACTATTTACAATAAATAGATACCAACCTAGGTTATTTTAAAGCACAATCTTTATAAATAAATACTGCTGATAGATTGTTTTTACTGTGTATCCTAACGCGGTATTATCTACTCAAACAGGCTGGTCAATTCTGCAATTAATCTATGAACCTTTGTACAAATATACTGAAATAATATATTATATTCCAATGTAAACGTAATTAATTGTTAATATTGTAAATTTCAGCTCATATACAATACTGTAACATTGGAATTGCAAAAATGATGAAATATACACCGAGCAAGTGAATAACAGCGTAAGTAGCCAATCAGCGACGGCACCGCGTCGCAGCTGATGATTTCTTCCATTAATGAAGACATGGTAGTACTTAGACTGGCGC